ATCCTCTGTTTGTCACATAGTTACAGTGACAACAACATGACCTTACATTTGTTCACTCATCTCAGTCTCTTCCTACCACCAATCACTAAATTCTCAAAGATTCTCAGACAGTTCATACATCGAGTTATCGAGCTGGTCATCAAAAGTCAGCATTATTAATCTGACTAACAACCTTTCATTCACACTAGTGAGTCTCTTGTCTTTGTAGATGAAAGCTATTTGTTCTGTGTGTCTCTGTAAGAAGCTAAGAAGCCACTGTCAATGTGCACAAAATCTTCATTTTTTATCCATAATTGGAAACTTTTGTTCTTTGAAATCAGCATTAAAGCACTTCTGGTTTATTCTGCCTCCTCTCAGTCCTGCAGCTCCTGCCTGCCGCTTCAAACAGGATTTTCAGTTACTGGAAAAATATTCACAAACATATAAATCGATGTGTACGCAATAAACTGAGCTGTAAACTTGTACTTTACTCACAACTATTACTCTACTAAGGAGTATTAGACACATTCAGAAAAAAAGTTCTGGTTTATTTGGCAAATAAACTCAAAGTTTTGTTGATCAAACTTGAAATAATATTTATATTAAGTCAATGTGGAGATAAAAGGAGTTGTTATTGCAATTCAGCTCTGATGGCTGCCTTGTGTAAGTTAGTTGGTGAAATTGTACTTCTACTACTAAACACGAGTGTGGTGTAAAGGTTAGGGTTGTGTGGTATAAGGATGTTGCAGAAACATGCATTCAATCAGAAGGCAGTAGTGTAGTCATGGCGATGGCTAAGATGCATGTTACACAATAAGACACAATAAGACAGGTGATCTGTCTCTCTGACCCAACAACACGAGGCATTTGCAGAGTGTGGCTGCAGTGGGAGATGACTTAAAATGACAAGTTCAACATTACTGTCAAAATGAACAATGTTTCCTAATCCATGGTGGATTTACACCTTCTTGATTGCAACGTCTCTACTGACAAATTCATGAATTTGCATGCTTTGGCTTTTGCAACACTTCTTGTGCAGATACCTGAAACCTGTCCTTCCTCATTAGGTCCAGTAGCAAAAATGATTGTTGCCATGATGCCAGGTCTCTCTTGGAAATTAGATTTTTAATCTCAATGAGATTTTTTACCTGGATAAATAAAGGATTAATAAATGTAGTGGGATATTGTACTACTGTACAAATCTTTGGTGTTTTTATCACTGGCTGCCTTAAAAATGTGTTTTCTCTTTTTAAATATACAGAAATCTACAGACGACTCCTTTAAACATCTGCTCAGCCTACAGGACATACAAAACCTCAAAAACTCATCAAATTGAAGTTCTTCAAAATTATTCTATTAATATAACATTACAGTAAATATAATAAAATTATATATTAATATTACAATCAATTAAATATTGATATTTGGGATATGAAAGGCTTTGTACTCCTTTATGGAAGACATTTAAATGAAGGTAGATAATAAGTCATATAAGTGAATAAAAACATGATCCTGATCCTTATGAGGGTAAAAAGCAGCTAAA